CGTCACGAAGTCCGCCAGGGCTTGGCCCTTTATGACAGGCCTCGGACGGATGTCAATGTTGTATTGGCTAAGGAAGATAGCCCATTTTACCATTCGGGAGGAGCTGGTGGGGTTCCTCATCAAAGCGCCGAGGGGTTGGTGTGTGAGGACCTGGACCGGGTGAGCTTGGAAGTAATGGCCTAGTTTCTTGACGGTCCAAACGATGGCTAGCACCGTCTTTTCCACGGGAGAATACCTGAGTTCCGCCTCCCTGAGAGTTTTGCTAACATAGAAGATGGCGTGTTGGATGTCGTCTTCCTCCCGAATTAGCAATGAGATGATGGCAACAGAGCTGACGCCAAGATAGAGGTATAGGGTTTCCCCTACCTTGGGCTTGGAGAGCATCGGGGGTGAAGATAAGTACTGTTTCAAGTCGTCGAAGGCCTCCTGGCACTCAGTAGTCCATTGGAAGCCGGCGGTCTTCCTCATGATCTGCAAGAAGGGTAAGGACTTCTCCGCTGATTTGGATAGGAAGCGGTTGAGGGCTTCCAGGCGGCCCGTCGGCCTTTGGACTTCCTTTACGTTGCGTGGGGGCTCCATGTTGATGATGGCCTGAATTTTTTCCGGGTTGGTCTCGATGCCCCTTCGGCTCACCATATAGCCCAGGAACTTGCCGCCTTGCACGCCGAAGGTGCATTTCTTCGGGTTTAGCCGAAGGTTGAACTTTTGCATGATGGCGAAGATCTCCTGGAGGTCGTTAGCATGGCTTGATGATTGTTTGTTTTTGACGATCATGTCGTCCACATAGGCCTCTATGGTGCGCCATAGGACGGCTTGAAAGATTCTGGACACCATCCGGGTGTAAGTGGCGCCCGAATTCTTCAGGTCGAAGGCCATGACCAGGTAGCAAAAGATGCCTTCGGGTGTCATGAAAGCAGTCTTCTCTGCGTCCTCCTCGTGCATGTAGATCTGGTGATACCCGCGGAAGGCATCGAGGAATGACATGATCTCGCAACCCGCTCTCTCGTCTACCAGTTGATCAATATTTGGCAGAGGAAAAGGATCCATGGGGCATGCCTTATTCAGATCCGTGTAGTCCACGCACATGCGGAAGGTGGGCGGCTTTTGTGCGAGGACTACATTAGCAAGCCATGAGGGATATTTCACCTCCTTGATGTGTTTGATGGAGAGGAGCATGGCAACCTCCTTCTTCATGAAGTCCCTTTTTTCGGCCGAGAGGGGCCTTCTTCTCTGTTGTACGGGTTTGGAGGAAGGGTCCACCACGAGGCGGTGGGTAATAACCCTTCGACTGATGCCCGACATGTCCTCCATCCCCCATGCAAAAACAATGGAGTAGGCGCGGAGGGCATCCGTGATGTCGGTCTTCAAATCTTCAGGGAGCTTGGCTCCTATCTTCACGACTCTCTCTGGCTTGGCCGGATCGAGCGCGAAGTCTTCTCCCTCCTCAACTGGTTCAACCCTCAGCCTCTTCTCTTCTTCCTCAACAGTTCCGGTGATGGTGTCTAGCCGGAACTCATTCTTACTAACCTTCTTTGTTATCTGAAGATAGCAGGCGCGGGCGAGCTTTTGGTTCCCCCTCGAGTACCCGATGCCTCCTTCAGCTGAGAATTTGAGACATAGGTGCCTCATGGAGATGATAGCCTCCAGGTCCTCGAGGGCGGGGCGGCCGAGGATGATGTTGTGGGCGCAGTCAATGTTGACGACGACGAACTCCACTTCGAGCTTGGCCCTCGGAAGAGTACCGGGAGGGTCACCACCCCCTCGGAATCTATGGTGTCTCCGGTGAAGCCGTACAGGGGGTCCGGATTGGCCGAAGGCAGCTCCTCTCTAGGTGCAGCTCCTTGAATGTGTTGAGATACATTACGTTGACGGAGCTGCCTGTGTCAACGTAAGTTCGGTGGATGATGGTGTTATTGATCTCGCTTTGGATTACTAACACATCCCTATGAGGAGAGGAAACTGGGGGAGATCGGCGTTGGAAAACATGATGGGCTCCTCTCTCATCCGCTTTACGGGGGGCATGTGAGTGACTTCCCCCACGTAAAGCGATTGTCCCCACTTCTTTCTTTGGCTAGTGGAGTCTCCCCCCGTGTTACCCCCGGTAATCATGAGGATGTGGCGTTTCTTCTCCTGGTACTGGCTGTACTCCTCCTCCTCATCGAGATTCCCGATTTCCCGTTTCTTACCCTTCGGGTCACCGAGGGGAATGGTGTTTAGATTAATCCAAGCATTTGCCCTCGCCGGCGGTCCTCGCGGGGGCCCTTGAGGCTGAGGGCCCCTGACAAATTGGGACAGGTGGCCCGCCTGTATAAGCCTCTCGATGGCTGCCTTCAGCTGGTGGCAGTCATCGATTCTGTGCCCTTGATTACGATGGAAGCGGCAGTATGGCTCATTGGGGTTGACAGCGTATACCTCCAAGGGCGCGCGAGAGTCACGCTCTACGAGGCCTCTCTCCTCGGCGTAGTCCAGAATGACGTTGATGGGATGCATCAGAGGCGTCCGAGGGTGCTCCAGAAGGATGGGATGGGCCCAAGCCTTCGGGTTGTGCTTATAACCTCCCCCGGGCTTGGCTTGGCCATGCCGGGGGCGATCACCCGAGGGGGTCGAGCCTTTGGATTGATGGGATGGAGTCCCCAGCCCTCGGTTGTTCCGGTCATCTGGTCAGGGGCGCTGCTGCTCGGGGTTCTGGTGACATTTCTCTACCTCCTCGGCCTCTGCATACCGGTCCCCCCGCTGGAGGGCCCTTATATAATCGTGAGGGGGTTCAATGATGACGCTCCTTGAGAAATTCCCGGTGCGGAGGACCGTCTGTAGGAGACCCATGAGGGTCCCGTCGTCGGCTCCGTCAATTTTGTCTGTTTCCAGCCTCTAATGTTCCAAGAAATCCCGGAGGGTCTCCTCCTTCCTTTGCCTCACCGTTAGCAAATGGGAGAAGTGTTTTCTTGACCGGCGCCTTCCCGCAAACTGTGTCAAGAAGCGTTGGACGAGTTCTTGCCACGAGTCAATGCTACCTTCGGGAAATCGGTTGAACCATTCGTACACTGGTCCTTCTAAGGTGGAAAGGAACCAACAACACAAATATTAATCTGATGCCCCCACCATCATCATGATGTTTTGGTATCTGCTGTAGTGCTCCTGGGGGTCAGTCTTTCCTTCGTAGGGCTTGATGGGTTGCCCTCGGTACTTTCTCGGAATCTGGGCCGCCAATACCCTTGGGGTAAATGGCGTCCTGGTCCGGAGTTGGATGACGGGTTCCCCGTAGCCTTCGGCCATCTTCTTCTGCATGTCCTCCATTTTGGCCAGCATGGCGGCGTATTTGGGGTCCGCCTATGAGGCGGAAGTTGTAGTGTGCGCTTGGTGGGCCTCCATTTCATCAAGGTGGCGCTGGAGGGCCTCGATAATTTCATCCCTGTGATCCTTCGGGAGGGCCTCCGCCCCCGCGATTGAACACGGGCCGAGTGGGCCTGGTTGATTTGGTGTCTTGCGTCATCGACATGTAGTGGTGCCTTTCCTTTGTCCTGAGGGGGACGCCTCTCGTTTGCCCTCGATACCGACCCCCCGCTTTCTTGAGGTCTTTGGAGTGCCTTACCACCGAGGCGGTCTTGGACCCCTCGGCGATCTTGCACCCCTCCGAGCCTCTCAAGGGCGGAGGCCCGAGATCTCTCTTTGTTCATGCCACGTTGGTCCCAGGATTGGACTTCCTGGGATGTGGTGTCATGGGCCATGACCCCTTCGGCGTTCCCCAGCCGGAGGATGGGGTTCACGAAAGGGGGCGGTGGAGTTGGAGGAACGACGTTCTCCCTGACGTTCTCACGAAAGGGTCTTGGACCGAGCACGAGTTCTTCCCATTTTTGTTGGTGTTTTGTGTTTGGTGAACGGGAGGGCTTCTTACTTGATTGTTCGACCTCTCAACGAGAGCACCAAATGATGGATAGTGTACCCGGGGGTAGCTTATCCGAGGGGTTATCACGAAGAATAACTAGAGAGAAGTCAGAGCAAACAAGTAAGAGAGAGAGTATGTATTTGATATGAATTCAGCGTGGTCTTCAATGGGAAAAAGAGGGGCTATTTATAGCAGTAGGAGTGGACTCGGGCCGGGCCAAACGGCCCGGAATCGGACCGGCTCACTACTGTGCGGGCCCGGACCGGCCCGGTGAACCGGTTGGTGCCCGGTTTGGGCCACCCGGCCTGGTGAGGTATGCAGTTCGGGCCCGGGCCTGCTAAATAGTGAACCGGCCTGGCCGGTTCGGGCCCGGTCCGGGCCATTTTTTTTTCTTTTTTTTTTTTTTGAATTTTTTTAAAGTTTTTTGGTTAGGCTGGGTATGATGGGCCATTTGAGGTGAGTTGGGGTGGTTTGGGGTGACGGGGGAGGGTTGGGGTTAATTAGGAAAAGCCAAAAAAAAATTACATGAACCGAGGCCCGGACCGAACCCGGGAGTTACCTGGGCCGGTTCCAGGCCTCCCCTTTCATGAATCGAGGCCCGGCTGGGCTCGAACCGGAACCAGTCCACCCCTATATAGCAGCAATAAATGCTAGACAATGACACGTGTCAAGCATCCGACGGCCGAGGGTCATCTCAATCGAGGTGGCACCGACACTCGCATGTGGCAACATTAAATGCGGTTGTTGGATGTGACATCATACTTGGTACGGTGATTCAAGCGCATGTGGAGAGGAGATTCTATCGAGAAAGGTGTCTTCGGCTGTAGATGATAAGCCGAAGGCTCTTCATATCGGGGGCCTCTCAGTGCCGAGGGCCCCAAGTGTCGAAGGCTACTGATTTCGCCATTTTCTCAGTAGCTTCGTATGCCCAAAACTAGCTGTCCTGTGGGATTTCGAGCCTTCGGCCTAGGGGCCGAAGGCGTCCATATGTGCAACATGGGCTCCTTAATTTGGGGCACTGTGATTTAGGCCTATTATGCTTCCTGGGCTTGTTGGGCCTATGTCAGAGTAGCAGAAGTCTGTGGGCCGGGAGTTCTTGGACCATATACTCCATCAATGTATATATAAATATATAATATAATTAATGCCCAAAATTAAGGTTAATAGAGATTTCCATTTTAAACCGGGTCATCTCTTTCAGTATTCCAATGTATACAAAATGGCCACTGTGCAGAAGATAAAGTGTACAAGGTGGATGCACAATAAAAAACAAAAATTACTAAATTACAGAAGGTGGAAAAAATAGTAGAAGTAGAAGGAAGGAGCAAGAGGAATGGTTGAATGTGAATCCACTCCCTTCCATTGGGATAGTAATAATAACAATCATACTATAATGTGTTAAAAGCATATCATGTGGCATAAACGCCTAACGCTTGAATGAACCACGATCAGATAAAGAATAGTAATGCCTTCCACACCAACCCATGGAATACAACGGGGCCAAAATCACTTAAGCACAACCATCTTCTGATTCTGCAACATGAATTGATATGTTAGAACTTAGAACTGCAATAAGAACAAGAAAAGATCACTTAACAGTGGTAAATTCAGCCGGTCTAAGAATTTGCATTCTAGAGACAGGATCACATAGTAATTAAAGCTTAACACGATGCACCAATTGCAGGCATTATCATTATCACATGAATCCCAACTAAGGACCTGGTTATCTTAGACGTATTTCAATCATATGCTAGACCAGGAGCAACAGAAAATATTACAAGAAAAAGCAATCCATACCCAACTTCAACTTATGAGGCCGGCAACGATCATTCCAAGAACATATCCTCAGTTGGAGTTGCTTTATTAATGCATCTAAAAGTCAGTTTGGCAAAAACCTAAGTAGCACGGAAACAGGAAACGGGAAACGTCGGAAACGCCATTTACCAAAAATACAGGACATGAAACGCGGGGGAAACGCGCAAATATTAAAAATATAGGGGTTATTTTATAAATATTATATACTTCCTCCGTTCTTTAAGTCTTGCAACATTATGATTTTTGCACTATTCACAAACCATAGTTTGACCACAATTTTCTACTAATATACATAATCAAATTATTACGTATAAAGTGTTATCAAATTCCTATCAATGTGAATTTCCAAAATATCAACCTTTTATAATGGTTACTAATACAAAATTAAATATAATTACAGTCAAAGTTGTGCGTTGGCAAACGTGAAAGTCAAATTGTTGCAAGAATTAAAGAACGGAGGATAGTATATATATATACTACGTATATATATTTGTGAATTTTTTTTATATGTATATATGTAAATTAAAGTAGCAACTTTTACTGCGTATAGTACTATAGTACTCCAGTACTGCCCTATCCCTATACTCCATATATCATACACTTTTTTTTTTATTGAATGAAAAATGATTGAAAACAAATCACACACATTTATATGTTTAAATGAATGAAAAATGTTTAATAAATTTCATAATCACTTAGTGGACAGCTGGACGTCATCAAGTTCACCTACTAGGCCAAGTCTACAACATTACTCATATTACTCGTACGTTTAATTTCAACCCCAAATCCCACCTACCGACTCAGGGGAGAACTGTGCTGTCGAGAAACCAAACCAGACCCAAGTACAAACAGAGCCGGACAACTTGAGACGGCAGATAACACAATCGACATAGCAGAAGGAGAAAAGATTGTGACTTTCCTTGACCTGATTAAGACGAAGAGCGCAGATACTAATATGATCTTCACTGAAGACGGCCAATCACTGAAGAAGAAGAAGTCCGCAGATATTCCGCAGATAGATTCCTAATTTCTTTGGTTTTTCTTTTTCGGTGAAACTCTGTTTTGGGGGGAAACGGGTTTCCAAACTTTTGAAAATTAAGAAACGGGCCCGACACACGTTTTGGACGTTTCTCGCGTTCAGAAACGTCAGTACGTTTCCGATACGGGGAAACGCTGGCCTTTCCACGTTTCCAGGCATTATAGGCAAAAACTAATATGAGTTGACATCTGGAAGTATATTCCAGTTTTGAACCACTAGTTTGAGTTTTTTCATTCTGAATACCATGTTTGGTTTACATTCCAAACAGCTTCTACTTTATCAAATTCACTTTTCAAAAATGTATCCACACATAAATTAAACTTCATTACCCTAAGTAACTTTTACTGAACTAACTTTTGAAATATGAACTTCCGCTGAACTGATTTTTGGTTAAATGCGATGAGCACACACAATACAATTAGTTATGTGCCAATGCTAAATGAATATTGGAAAAATCACCATGGCACATTATGGATAACATGACTTCAATGAACCCATATATGTGCTATAGACCAGTGACGGATCTAGCAAGAAACAATTGGGTGTTCAAATAATTTTAAATAATAATATTGTTTGACCCAACAATTTAAAGAATACTATTTGGTTCAAATAATTTTAAATAATAATATTGTTTGACCCAACAATTTAAAGAATACTATTTGGTTCAACAACAAAATAGGTAGTAAATATTGTTAAAAGTAAGAAATAATATATAAAAACACAACATATGAATTATTTCATCAATTATATACATACTTGATACTCCGTATATTTTTGCATTTTTTGTTCAAAGTTTTGGATGGTCATGTGAACATCTTTGAATAGAGTGGCTCCACGACTGCTATAGACATACAAGATAATACTCATAAGAGTACCGTATATTGCTTGATTGCTTCCATGTCCGACACATGACCCTAATGAACCCATATCGATTATATAGCCATAAATATAATATTCAGAAGAGTACCGTGTATTGCTTCCATGTCTTCCTTGTAAACCCCGAGGGGGGAACCATGTACTGATAAAAGCATCTCCCCGTGTTTGGGAAACCTCAATGTTTTTGGTGTTGTACCAACAGATAACCGGTTGTTATGTACCTGAAACTAAACCATGGGTAAAGATGATGGTCAGATTGTGTGGCTCAGGTAAAATTGTTTACACCAAAGAATAATAGCACTTCATCACATGTAGAAGCTACTTTTCTGTAAAGTCTGAAAGTTTCACAACAACAGGAATTGAGAACTCTGCTCCTTTTCTTTATTCGACATCTTCCCAATTCTTTCTGTGTTGGGCACAGCAAAAGCATTTTTATTGGCTCTTTAGACTTCTGTGGAAAATGACTTCCCGTTTTGAAAATGAGGGGTCATTTTCCTGAAACAGATTTATATTTTCTACTCCCTCCGTCCCGAAATTAACTTCCGGGTTTGACTTCACAGGTTTTTAGGTGGGAAAAAAAGTTGACTTTCCAAGAGTACTTTTGCATAGTAAAGAGAAGTGGTGGTCCAAATTAATTAAAAGAGGTAAGTGAATAGTAGAAGTAAAGGGTAAATGGGTACTTTGAAAGCAAAAACTTACCAAAAGTAGAAATAAAGTAAAATAGGAAGTTAATTTTGGGACATCCCAAAAAGGAAAGGTGGAAGTTAATTTCAGGATGGAGAGAGTATTTTTGTGTGTTTCAAACAGATTTATGTTGTCTGTTTGTTTTTCTCTTTCAACTTTCAAACATTAAATTATACGTAGTACATAGAACAACTCATGTTCGAGGAAAAACTTCTAAAAGAAGACTTGCCCCCACAAAACAGTTCCCCAAAATATGTTTTCCACAGCATTTGATTTTCCTTGGAACAACAGGAGCCTTCTTATCAAATTTACAATGTAGTGACTGTGATTGTAGTGACTATGATGATATTACTCATACTAGCTTTGGTCACATTTTATCCATAAATTTTGAATCAATTGCAATTACGGAAAAAACTCAAAGAAAAACACCGCAAACAATGCTTGTTTGCTTATAGATAACACCAGGTACTTACTGCCGGAGTTTGGAGAGGATCCTGCTGATCAAACAGTAGAGTCTCAACTGGTTCTTCTAATACCTATAAATGATAGATCGAGAGCATGAGAGAAGAAAAGTATTCATAGATTGTCCAAGAAGATAAATGCAAGTAAAAAAGGCACATGAGGTACATGGCATAAAGAAACATACCAAACCCTTAATTTGGAGATCTTTTTCCCCAAATACATTGGTCACTGCCGATATTTAAAAAACAATAATATATCAGGTGATTTTAAGTTTAACACTACTTTAAATTTTCTTATGTCAGCATTATCAACTAAACTTAGTCATACCTGACTTATTTGAAAACTCAAACCCACCAAAAGATGGGATTGCAGTAGAGCAGTTGGGATAAATAACTGATAATTTCTGTAGAAGCGAAGTGTGTATATTTCTTCCATCTAGTTGGTCCATTGCTAAGGTACGCCCATCTTTTCTCCATTGCACTTCATACGTACCATCATTCTCGTTTCTCAAGACTGCCAGATTTGGGAGGTTTTCTCTGAAAAATTGCAAGACTGGAACTTGAAGCTGTTCATTGCTGAAGTTAGAGCATAGCAAACGTATCATGGTGCGTAGTTGTTCAATCTCAACATCGCGAAGAGCCCTAACTGCTGCACTCTGGCGTTCAACAGAATCTGACAATTAATAAGGAACAATAGAACCTTAAGAAAGTAAAAAATCATTGAACATATTAACTCCTGGAAGGGTGGGAGAAACACAACACTTCCGATTATCCAAGCTGGTTGTGCTAAACCGGTAATTCAGAGAGTCAATCAACTCAAGACGCCGTAATGACCCTGAAAAACAGTGTGAATAACACGAATAAGAAATTTGTATACCTTCATGCTCCGACGCTGCACCCTTCTGGGGCTCCTCCTGGTTGGATTCAGGAGCAGCATTAGCTGGATTATTAACAGTTCTTTTACCCCTTTTCTTTGGCATTTGATCTGTAAGAGAAGGGGAGGAAATCCCAATGCCAATCTCTCTGACAATTCCTCTAGGGTTTGGTTTGTATCCACACAAAAAGAGAAGATAAAAAGCGTAACGATCGCTATCTCCTGCCAGGAGTCGGCAAGTGCGAAGCGAATCAGACGCGGGGGTGGCTTACCGGAGGAGTATTATAATAATTTCATCATTACTTGGATGCTAGTGGATTAGTAACACAGATTAAATAGCATTAGTAACACATATGAAGTAAAGTTAGTGAACAAGAAGACGGCTTAACAGCCGTTTACTAAGCATATTAATTAAACGGCACTTTAAGCTTTTTCGGTTTCCGAGTTACCCTTACCTTTTTACCCTTGCCCTTACTCCTACCCCTAACCCTCTACCTTACCTCGACCCTTAACACCGACCCTACCCTCAACCCCTAACAATCGTACCCCTAACGCATACCTTACCCCTACCCCCGCACTACACGCCCTACCTCATCCCTACCCATACTTGTCCGAGTAAGTGTATCCTACGGCTACCCCCACCCCTAACCCCTTATCCCTAGCCCTTACAACCCTACCCTCGACCATACCTCTTACCCCACCACCCAACATGTCCCCCATACTCGTACCCCTTGCCCATTGCCCCTCCCTAGTTACCCTTACCTTACCCTGCCCCAGCCCCATACCCCAACCCCTCGCCCTGATCCCCACCTGTACCCCTTACCCCTACCCTAGGGTCGGGGTAAGGATAGGGATAAGGTATGAGTTTGGTAGGGGTAGGGTGAGGTGGTAGTAGGGGGTAGGGGTAGGGGGTATGTGGCCTTGGTAGGAGTAGGGGTAGGCAAGGTTATGGGTGAGGGATGGGTGGGTATGGGCAGGGGGTAAAGGTTAGGGCGGGACACCGATAGCGGTAAGGGGGCAAGGGTATGGGTATGCGGGTGGTTGGGGATCATGGCAGGGGTAGGGAAGGGGTAGGGTCAATGGGTGAGGTACGAGTAGGGTGTTAGGGTTGAAATTGGAGGTAGGGTGTAGGATAGGGGTAGGGACCGGGGTTAGGGGTTAGGAGTATGGGTACATGTACGGGGTGACCCCCACGTATTATTTTATATATTACGTACTTGTTTACATGAATGTTTGTGTGCCTGTATATGTATAGGGTTATTTTGGTCATTTTAATATTAAACGGTGCTTTAAATCCTGTGAAGTAAACATGAGCTTATTATAACATTGTTTATTTTATGCGCCGCTTACTAAAACAAGGAGGTAAGTGTCAGTTTGGTCCTAGAAGTTGCATAAAAGGGGTCAAATAAGTCCTTATGACGTCCTTATTGTCCAGCCATCGCCATTTGGGGCAGTTCCCGGTGAAATTTTTTGATGATTTTTTTTGAGAATCTTATTCATTAAGTCTAGTTTACTCATACCAAATTTTATCTAAAACTAAATCGGGAAGACATTCAAATGAAGTCTTGAAGATAACTGCGCTTTTAATTGCGCAGTTACCTTCAAGACTTCATTTGAATGCCTTCCCGATTGACGTTTTATCTGAAATTTTGTATGAGTAAAATAGACTTAATGAATAAGATGTTCAAAACATTTTATCAAAAAATTTAACCAGGAACCGCCCCAAATGGCGACGACCGGACAGTAAGGACGATATAAGGACTTATTTGACCCCTTTTATGCAACTTCAAGGATCAAACTGATCCTTACCTCCTAAAACAAGTCTTAATAACCACCATTTAGTAACTTGTGAAGGAAACGTGTCTCTAGTGTTTGTCATTGTTTCTGCTTTAATAAAGTAATTTTTTAAAGTGATTTTGAAAAAATTACTTAATGATAAGAGTTGGTAACTTGGTAGTGTTTAAAAAAAGTGTTTATGAAAAAGTACAAGTTGGTAGTGTTTGATAAAATAAATGTTTTTTGTGTAATACAAAAAGTGAAAAGCAGAGTTTAATAAAGCACCGCTGAATCCGCTTCCAACTTTTAGCTTTTAGTGCTTCATTTGGGTAGAAGCTGTCACTTGAAAACACCAATTTCTTCTTTTTTAAAGCCAAAATTTGAAACACTTTTTTTGCAAACACTCCCTTAAAACATGCTGACAGTCGGCTCTAGTGTAGGCCCGGTTACCAATTTTTTGAGGAGAAAATAACACTTCCTCTCTTTGTCAAAAAATTATCTTCATTCTTTCCTTTTTCGTCTGTTCCAATATAAACTCTTTTTTCGTTTTTTTAGCAAATAATTTGTGGTTCATAACATTTATCTCCACTTTCTTTCTCCTGCACAACTGTAGTCCACATATCTCTCACTTTTTAATCAAAGTCAAAATAGGATATTTTAGTGGATGAATGGAGTAGTAGAAAAAATAGACAAGAATAATTGCATTTATTGTTTGTTTGCTCTATATAATTCAAAGTATTAATTATTACTATCTCTGTCCCCCTAATATTGGTACGGAAGGGTGTAGTGTGGTTTTTAAGAAAAGTAGAATTATGTGGTTGGTAATGAGTTGATAAAGTGGAAATAAAGTAAGAATGAATTAGAGCCACACAAATGTTACCAAATATGGTATGGGACAATAATAAAGGGACATTCAAAAATGGAAAAATGGGACAATTATAGGGGGGAGGAGAGAGTATAAAATAATCCCAACTACTGAATAAAATATTCAAAATGCTCTGGGAGTTTATATTGACTGCAAATGTTATAAGTCATTTATAGGTTATTATAAGTCATTGGAGCATTTTGCGAATTTTATTCAATAATTGAGATTATTTTCAGATAATCGATTCTTTGGATTATTTAAAGTAGGTCACTAATAGTTGGGATTATTCTTGTCCATTTTTTCGAAATAATTATTCTATACACACCTCATACGCGCCGTTTGTGAGGATATTTTTTTATCTGTGAATGCACTTGATAGTTTCCCGATAAACCGATAGTGGTGTAATAGAGAGAAGTGAGAGCTAACAGTTTAGAGAGGGAAAGTAACTTGCATTAATGGGATTCGAATCCTTGATGGGTGCTTTAGAATATGCTGATTATTTGAGTGGGAGCCAACTCGATAAGACGTGTAGTAGGCGGAAACGTATTTGTTCAAGTCTCAATCCAATTAGTAGAAACTTGAGTGAGTTTTCTATTAAAGAATTGGAGCTCAAACTCTTAAAATTTGGAGGGACACCAAGTTCTTCTGGTTAAACCAAGAATGATTTAGCAACTGAAGTCATCAACAAATATAAGTGCTTATGAGCTGGAGGAAGTTGTCACATCTCCTTTTGGAGGAGTGATGTCTCCAATAAAGATGTTGGTTGTTTAGAAGCACATGAACCATTCTCCCCCTCATGACGATCAGATTCATCTGAGACATCATGTTTATTTTACAGAATAACAAAAAAAAAACAAAAATGGGCAAAAAACTCGAAGACACCATGGTGTTCCATTATCACAACATGAATGAAAAACATTGATATGAGGCATGCAGATAATGATGAATGAGTTAAGACCCCTAGCAAGACTTTTGACCAATCATAACGAAGCATCTAAAGTAGATGTCACTTCATTCATTGTTGTATGATCACAGAGATTAGTAGAGAAAAATGTAGCCTCATGGTCATGTAGAATTTCCATTAACATCGCTCTAGAGAAAACCTCCAGAGGATGGCCTAAACAAGTTGGTGATAAAGAAGTTGCAACGTCAAGACTTCCTTCCAATCCTCAAACTATATCTACGGGATATGAGCCTATGGATGTTCTCGCATGGCTATCAAGACCACCAACCCACTCTAAATGTGTTCGTGTCCTAGAAAATTCAAAACATTTGGGAGCAGATTTACTAGACATGACGTAATCAATGTGAATTCAATGGTATGTGGTTTGTGGACCACTTTAATCGGCATCACCCGTCTCAAAAGGAGACGATGATTGATGATGAGGCCCTGTGAAGATGTTGAAACACGTGTCTATTGGGAGAAATGAGTGGTATATGGTAGGATTGTGCACGCGCTGTTGGAGTACTAGACAGAGCGAGTTCTACCCAAGATATGATTAACTCAGTCTTGTACCTATGAGGATTGTCTTGATTATTTTGAGTGACTTGATGTTTTCTATCGATTGGTAGCACACTTGAGGAGGCAGATGTCATCAATATTGTTTTTCTCTCTCACTTGAGTTGGTATTCTACAAGTGTAGACCTTCATTGAATGCAATGGGGACACATGGTAGCAAAATTAATGCTAGGTGAGTTATGCTATAGCCCTTGGAGTGGAGTCCCCTCGACTACAAACGGGGTCGCAAACACCAATGAGGTGATGAGCAATCCCTCATTTTAAAGTGGTGTGGACAAGGGGGTTTAATCATTATCCGTATGTTTTCAAGAGTGTTCCCAGTGACTACTTCATGTTCTGCTATCGTTGGTGACCCCACGTCTAACAATGGTGTTAGAACATATTTTATTGTGTTCAATTTTGTTGTATTTATCTTTGTCTATTATATTTAATTAGTGGGCTTTGTAATTAATTAGGGTCATTTAATTAGAGCCATTCGTCACATCCTATTGTAACTAGGATGTTCGGCCATATATACTCCTATAAATATAAGATGTATGGACCGAACAAGGAGAGAGTTTCACAATTAGAATAGCCACATCATTATTAGAATCTCTCATGCTAGAGAGAGAAGATGAGTGCTACACATAATTTCCGCACGTACATTATTCTAATTAGCGCTCCCACTTTATTCTCTCTCTCAACTTCATACGTATATCAAGTACTCACTGAATTATCATTATGAATATACGGTATATTGATAGTTTTTTGATATTCTATCTTCTACATCTTTTCTACATATTAATCGTTTAATGTTAATTGACTGTTGATTAGGGAATTCGCAATTGGTATTGTTGGGATTCAAGCAGAAAAACGCAACGGAATAAACGAAAAATTACTGCCCAAAAGTAAACAATCGGATCTGAGGTTCTTACTATAAACGAAATTACACGACATAAGAGGGACTTACATAGTAATCTTAAACAAGGATGTCAGACAGTCCAAGAAAACGATCCCGAGCTCTACCGATACTAGCGTTCTCTTCTCTCTCTCTCTCTAGGTTTTAAGATGTGAATTTTAACTTTTAAAATTCGTGGGTATCCTTAGCCCTATTTCGAAATAGGTTTTCGAATGACTGTTGGAAGTATGCTCTAGGACAATCATAGTTTATGATTTGTCAATGAATA